CCCACACCCACACACACCACACACACACACATACACACACATACACACATCACACACACATACATACACACACACCACACACGACACACACACACACATACACACACACATACACACACACATACACACACCACACACACCCACACCACACACACACCACACACGACACACACACATACACACACATACACACATCACACACAGATACACACACACACACCACACACCACACACACACACATACACACATCACACACACATACACACACACACACCACACACACACCACACACGACACACACACACATACACACACACATACACACACCACACATACACACACACATACACACACCACACACACATACACACACACACCACACACACCACACACACACACATGCACACATGCACACACACAGTGAATACACACAACAGTAATAATTTTTAGGATTAATTTTATTTTTAGCTGGGCGTGGTGGTGCACGCCTTTAATCCCAGCACTGGGGAGGCAGGCGGATCTCTGTGGGTTCCAGGCCAGCTGGGGCTACAGGGAGACCCTATCTCAGAAACACCAAAAGAAAGAAAAGATTAACTTTATCTTTAATAATGTGTCTGTGTGTGGGTATGTGCACATGAGTGCAGGTGCCTGCAGAGGCCAGAGGAGGGCATCAGATCCCCAGAGCTGAAGTTATAGGCAGTTATAAGTCACCCAACATAGGTACTGGGAACCAAACTCAGGTCCTCTACAAAAATAGTCATGCTGAGCCCTCTCTCCAGTACAAAAACAGTTTTGTTTTGTTTTTAATTTTTAAACTCAGTGGGCAAGACTTTGCAGGGGGTGGGGCCGGGGCTAGAACTGCGCGAACGCTTTCTGTTTCTCTGTGTCACCTCTCTCGGGAGTCTTGATGCTCCTCTCGCTCCTGTCTTTGGAATAATGTCTGTCCTTTGTCCTCTGTTCTGATGACACTTACTCAGTGACAGAGGCAGCTTCCAATGTGCTGCCTTACCCCAGCAGCCCGCTTTTCAAGATACCTTGATTTTGTTCTCACTGTGTTCTTCCAAAAAGAAGAACACACGTCTTTCCTTTCACAAGTCAATCACCGTAGATGTCTCTGTGACCTTGGAGGTACGTGGGAGGCCCCCGCAGCAAGCAGCCAGTGTCCCTGTCAGCAGCACCAGCAGGGCATCCCCCAAACCAGGGCAGCCCTGACACTGTCTACCTGGAGGTGGTCTCTGCTCAGTCCCTGACTGACTGCCCCCTTTAGATACCAATCACAGCTCCAACCACTTACGGAGCAGGACTCCCACAGCCACCTCCTCAGCAAGCAGCTCCCAGAACTCAGAGGACTCTCTTGAGTTTACAGGTTTGTTCAAAGGAGATCACAAATCACGCAGGAAAAGACGTATGGAGAGAGAGGCATGGGCAAGGAGGTGATGCTTCCTGCTGCCGCCACCCCACCACTGCCTCCAGAAACTTCTCTGTGTTGGGCTATCAGGAAGCTCTGTGAACCCTGCCTTTGGCTGGGCTGTCTGTCAGCTTCTTGGCCTCTCTCTGCAGCATCTCTCCCTTCAACACTGACCAAAGCAATTTATAGAAGGAAGAGTTTATTTAGCATATGGTTCCAAAAGGGCAAGAATCCATCATGGCAGGGAGGCATGGCGGCAGAGGTGGCTGGAAGAGGAGCAGAAGCTCTACATCTTCAAGCAGGCACAGGAAGCAAGAGAGCAACTCAAGATCCAGCAAGGCTTAACAACTCTCTAAGCCCACCCCGAGTGACGTGCTTCCTCCAGCATGGCCCACCCCGAGTGACGTGCTTCCTCCAGCATGGCCCACCCCGAGTGACGTGCTTCCTCCAGCATGGCCACACCTTCTAAGACCTCCCAAAACAGCACCACCAACTGGGGACAAAATGTCCAAACACTTGGAGCCTGTGGGGATGTTCTCATTCAAACCTCCACAGTAGATCAGAGAAAGGCAGGGGAGAGAGGCATTTCTTTGACCTGCCTTGGGGAATGTGCAGACTAATCTTGATGCATACCTGGGAAGAGCCTCCTCCATCATACTGGCCTGTATGTCCACGGGGCATTTTCTTGATTGCTAATTGATGTACGAGGGTCTAGCCACTGTGGGTGCTGTCATCCCTAGGCAGGTGGGCCTGGCCTATAGAAGAAAGGTAGCTGAAATGAGCCTGGGAGTGAGCCAGTAAGTATCTTTCCTCTATTTTGTTTCAATCTCCTGCCTGGAGCTCCTGCCTTGGCCTCCCTCAATGATGAACTACAGCCTGTAAGAAGAAATAAAACTCTTTCCTCCTCAAGTTGTTTTTGATCATGCTATTTATCACAGCCACAGAAAGCAAACTAGGACAGGAAAGATAATTCTAGTTTCTGTAGCCTGCCTCAGAGAAGGGCCTGTGACCCAGAAACCAGGAATTAAAAACCCGAAGCTGTGTGTGGTCATATCACAGGCCGCTTGTGGCATATAAGGATGGAACCTCCTCTGTTCCAATAACACCACAGTCTTTACTTTTGATTTAGTATGTGTATTCATGTGTTTGCAGGTGCACATGTGGGTGCATGAGTGTATCTGTGTGTGCATGCATATTCAGGCCAGAGGTCAACCTCAGGTGTCAGTCCTGAGGACCACACCTTGTTTCTTGAGATAGCATCTCTTCCTGGGCCCCAGGGCTCCCTCATTAGGCCAGGCTAGATGGCCAGTGATCTGCCTTTCCCCATCTCCTTGGCACTGGGATTACAAGTATGCACCTCCTCACTCAGTTTTTCATATGGGTGCGAGGCTTGAGCTCTGGTCTTTGTTGCCACAGTAAGCACTTGACTGACTGAGCTATCTCCCTGGCCCTCGAAGAGAGTTTGACCTGAAGTTTTCATCTCTCTGCACAGCCTTTCACCTCTTCTGAGTTGTACTGGGTTGTGGGTTGTGGGGTTTCCTTGCTATCGTGTCCATAGCTCCGTCCAGTGTGGCTTGACTTCTGGCCCTGTCACCCACCATCCCAGTTCCCTCTTCCCCCCTCCTGAAGATGGGGATGGTACCAAGTGGGAGGGCCAGCTCCAGCTTTCCCTGCTGCGGCACAGCTCTGGGTTTTCCGTTCCCTTGTCCTTCAGCTCCCAGAACATAACTGCTGCTGTTGCTTTCTTTTTTTTTAATCTCCTAAATATAGTTTTAGATGAGGGGCTTTTGTTTATTTGAAAGAGCAAAATCAGATTCAATTCAGCATGTTAACAAGAGGCCCTCACAGCCATGCCTCTAATAGGCTGTAAGTGGTATATTGATTTCACAGGACTATCACCTGCATCATGGGGAGAGTGGGAAGGGGCCCCAGACACCTACCCTGCAGGTGCCACTGTGCCATCAATTATGGGCAGCGCCCTGCTGTATCTGCCTCCCTCTGACACACCACAAGTAAGACTGCAAAACACAGCACACTTGGGAAGAGGAAAGCTGTGTGATGCCCAGCTGAGCTGCAGTCAGGGGCACTCCTGGCTGCCTGGGGATGATCCTCAGGAGGTAGGCAGGGAGCTGAGTCATTGGAGTCTGCTGTGAGCTGCAGGCACCTCAGCTGACAATTCAGGGCAGGAGCATGGCCTCTGTTCTGAATTCATGATGACAAAGAATTAGAGTGGGTGACATTGCTCTCAGCCGCCTGGGTTCCACAGGAGAGGTGACGTCAGTCAGCAGCCTTCAAATGGTGTCCTGAACACAGGCCTGTGACTTGGGCTTAAAAATGGACCGTGAGGGGCTGGAGAGATGGCTCAGCAGTTAAGAGCACTGACTGCTCTTACACAGAGCCCAGGCTCGGTTCCCAGCACCCACATGGTGGCTAACAACTGTCGGTAACTTCGGTTCCAGGGGATTCAACACCCTCTTCTGGCCTCTGAGGGCATTACACACACGTAGTACACTTACATGTATGCAGGCAAAACACTCATACACATAAAATAAAAATCAATAAATATAAAAGGAACAGGATTTAGATAGAGAACGTGGGATGGGTGCTCCAGGGAGCAGAGAGAACGGTGTGTTCCGAGAACCTAGAAACCTGAGCATCAGGAGCTGGCCCTTGTTAGGCTCCCCAGCCTCAGCTTCCAATCCAAAACATTGTTTGGTAAAAGCTATCCAACCAGCCAAGGCATCTGGAAATGACCTACTTGACGCAAGCCCCTCTCACCTGGCCTCCCTGTTCCTGCTCCTCCTGACCAGTACTCCCATCCCCTGCCCACTCCAGGAGCTGGACGACATATACCAAGATGCAGCCAGCAACGTGCTACTGGCCCTCTGTCGGCACTTGTGGCAGGCAGTGGCCCAGCACCTGAAGACAGAGCTCCTGACTGGTGTCTTCCCACACCACAGCCTGCTATATGTGATGGGCACCCTGTTCTCTCAGGGTATGTCTGCTGAAGGAGGGGCCAGGCATGGGGGGAGACCCTGCAAGACCCCTGGGACCTTCCAGTGACCATGGTCACACATGAGCTGTGCAGACTACTGCTCCAAGCCCCAGTAGTCCAACAACCCTCTCAGCAGCTCTGAGCCCTCATGGTCCACCAGCCCTCAGTAGCTCTGGCCATATGAGGGATCTTTCCACAGAAGAGAAAAGGGCCTCCATGCCACTATTTGATGGACTCATACTATTGTGGATACCTCAAGAGCTGGGCCTAGACAGAACCAGGAGGCTGGAGGATGGTCCAGAAGGTAGCTCAGATCCTATGAGCCCTGGTACTTCCATTCAGTGGCTGAAGCACTGGTCTCCTCCCTTGCACACAAGGCAGGGGGCCGATGAGAAGCCCAGCTTAGAGAGGCAGTGTTGATGGCCACGGTCACCCAGCAGTACCTCCCAGCCTTCCTTACTCAGGACCCTGAACCTCTACCTGTTTCCATCCGTTCACAAGCATAACTATCATTGTAAGTGCCTGGCTGGGAAGGTACTGGCCTGTGGCAGGGTGGCTGGAGGAGACCAGAGAGAGGAAGAACAGCCAGTGTGAGCCACATCCATTCAGGGCCTTAGGAAGAGCAGGTCAGCAGCTGGCAAGATCAGGCAGAGAGAAGAAGGGGGGCTCCAAGGCCATTCTGGGGAGTCCATGCTCAAGCCTGGGACCAGGCAGGACCCAGCTTAGCTTAGCTTGACCTTCTCCAGATTGGCAGGGTGGGAGGGGGTCCTAACAGTGCAGAGGGACCCCCAAAGCAAGCCCTCCCTCTGTGGTGGAATTTCCAGACTTCTCAAAAGACCTTCCAACCCCACAAAGAGTCCCTTCTCAGCCATTCTTTCCCAGACTTGAAGGGACCATAGCACATGCCAAAGGACCATGATTAGACTGGCCTATCCATTTACCAGTGGAGAATGGAGGCCCAGAGAAGGTAAACAGCTTGCCTGAGGTCACGCAGCATGCAGGCAGTGCCACAGTTCCAGCCCAGCAATCTGGACCCTAAACCTCATTCTGGCTCGTGTTCCTGCTACTTCCTGCTGCCCCACCTCCTCCCCTATGGATCCCATCAGGCAGGAGCAGGCCAGTGTCTGACGGACATGCAAGGTGGAGCCCAGGGTCTGGCCTGGGTATGGTCATGGAACCTGGCCCTGTAGCCCACCCTCCTCTTCCACAGAAGAACTTCTCCAAAAGGAAGAGAGAGCAAGCTGGAAAGACGTGCTGACCCAGGTAGGGAGGGAGCCCACCATCCCAGACCTGAGGGGCATCAGCAGAGGAGAGGCAGCAATCTAAACACTGTTCCCTGCTGTGGCGCTGGTGGGGGGTGGGGGGGAGAGGAGGAAGGGAGGATGAGGGATAGGGCGAAGGAGAGGAGGGGAGAGAGATAGGGTGTGGCACACAGCATGAGGACAGAAGGTGACTAGACCAAGGTCACTGGCCCAGCAAAGACATGGATTCTTGGTGTCTAGACACCTGGCACAGAGCAACTGCTCAGCACAGACAAGGTCTCCTAACTCACGCTTGGGGGACCAGAATGGCATGGGCCAGAGCTGAAACCATGGAAGGAAGGACACAGGCTGGGATGGACTGAAGATATAACAACCTAGAAACAGTGTCGGGGCAGGACCATATCTGACCTGACCCAAGGAGAGGGGCTTGTGCTGCTGAGAGGGGCACAAACCTTGCCAGAACTGAGCTCAAGTCCAGGGTCAGCCACTCACAGCTGTGTAGCTTGGGATGGCTTCCTGCCTCTCTGTTTCTTATGGGCATAGAGGTGGCTGCAAAAGACTGTGAAGGTACACAGGGCCCTGCTGCACACTGGTTGTCAGCACCATGGCTGGGGGGCAGGTAGCAGAGGACAAGGAGTGGGTACAAAGAGATTTAACACAACAGCAGGAAGACTCTCTAAGGCCTGGAAGGCCTGAACCCCATTAGCCACATTGATCCAACTGGCCCTGCTCACTACTGCGAATAGGACTTGCCTCCACCACACACTGGCTGGGTATCAACTTCCAATAAATTTAAAAGGACAGAAATCAAACAGAGGACAGTCTCTGATCAAAACATAAATTAGAGGTCAATGTTAAAATATACCTGGAAAAACTCCAAATGCTTGGAAATTAAACTCATTTCTCAGTAATATGTAGGTCAAAGAAGTCTGAGGAAATATTGGAAAATATTTTAATTAAATGTAATGAAAACATATTTGAACATTGTGAGGTATAGAGCACTTTTTTTATATTAGAAAGGGCATAAAATATGTTGGGGTTGTTTTTTTTGTTTTGGGTTTTTGGGGAGGGTTGAGACAGGGTCTCCCTGTAGCCCCAACTGGCCTGGAACTCACTATGTAGACTGGACTGGCCTGGAACTCACAGAGATCCGCCTTCCTCTGCCTCCCAAGTGCTGGGATTAAAGGTGTGTGCAACCACACCCTGCTAAAATATATTCTTTAATACTTTGTTTCAAGAAGGTACTGGGTATAGAGAGATGGCTCAGCAGTTAAGCGCACTGGCTGAGCACCCAGGTTTGGTTCCTAGCACCCACATGACTGCTAACATCCATAAATCCAGTTTCAGGGGATCCAACATCCTCTTCTGACCATCATGGCCATTGTACAACACAGGTACACTTACATACATGCAGGCAATATACTCATACACATAACATAAAGATAATAATTTTTTGAAATAAGCTGCCAAGGTTGAAGAAATGGCTCAGCAGTTAAGAGCACTGGCAGCTCTTTCAGAGGACCCAGGTTTGAATCTCAGCACTCACATGGTGGCCACCTGTAACTCTAGTTCTGGAGAATTCGACACCCTCTTCTGTCCTCCTCAGGCTCTGCACAACATGGGCGCACTTACACACATGGAGGCATAACACTCATACACATAAAAATAAATAAATAAATAAATAAATAAATAAATTTTTTAAGAAAAGAAGCTACGGAAAAACAAACTAAACCCAGAGTAAGTAGAAGGGAGGCAGAGGCAGGAGGATTGCTGTAAGTTTGAGGCCAGCTAGCCTACATAGCAAGTTCCAGGTTAGCCAGGAAAAAAACAAGTTCATCAAAAAGATCGCTAGACTGGGCCAGGCATGATGGCACACACCTCTAAGCCTAGCACTCAGGAAGCAGAGGCAGGTGGATCTCTGTGAGATTCATGCCAGCCTGGTCTACATAGATAATTCCAGGCCAGTTGGGGCTACAAAGACACCCTGTCTCAAAAAAATTCAGTATACTGCTTAAAAGAAAAGAAACACAAAAGGTCAATTTCAGAAATGACTAGAAAGGAATCATTAGCAACGTTACAAACCCTTTATATTTTAAAGGTTAACGCAATGATTCCGATAAATTGGACAAATAAGATTTAAAAACAGATTCCCAGCAAAACATAAATTAGCAAAACTGACAGAGAAGAAGCAGAAAATCCCAGGAATCCCTCAAGGAGTTAGAATAATAACTTAGAACCCTCCTGTCACAAAGCTGAACTCTTCTGCCTTCCCTATGACACACAGAGCGTAAGTGCCAGCCACAGAAAGGCATGTTCTGCAAGAGACAGAGTTTACTCACATCATCCATCGTCAACAGGCAGACAATGACCAAGAACCGGAGAGCTCTAGAGGGTCTGCTCAGGGCCGACAGGCAGCCCGGTCAGGGTTCCCTTGAGCTTCACTTCCACCGAAAACAAAACCCCCCAGACCAGACACTTCACTAGTGCGTTCCATCAAATAAACAATACCAAACAATACCAATCACCAGTCCTGCACAAATTCTGTCAAGAAAACAAGAGGAACATTTCCAAAGTCATTTTACAGAGCCAGGACAACCCTAATACCGAATTCAAAGACACTCCAAGAAAACTACAACCCAATGTCATTCATGCAGACAGACTCAAAAGCTTTATCAAAATATTAGCAAACTGAGCATAAGAATAATACACCACAGGGCTGGAGAGATGGCTCAGCAGTTAAGAACACTGACTGTTCTTGCGGAAGACCCAGGTTCGAATCCCAGCACCCACACAGCAGCTAACAACTGTCCGAAACTCCAGTTCCAGGGGATCCAACAGCCTCTTCTGTCCTCCGCGGGCATTGTATGACACGGGTACACTTACCTACATACAGGCAATACATGCATGCACATAAAATAAAAATAATAAATATATTTTTAAAAAATAATATACCATGACCAAGCATGGATTATCTGAAAGACACTGGTAAGCTTAATATTGAAAAGCAATAAACATAGTTCTATACATTAGCAAGATAAAGTAGAAAAACTGTGGTTGTATCTACGAAAAATTACCAAAGAACGACATTTGGAAAAATTCAGTATTTATTTTTAATTTTTTCTGATTTATTTATTTTTATTTGTGTGTGAACATTATGCCTGCATGCATGTAAGTGCACCTGTGTCGTGCAGTGCCCACAGAGGTCAGAAGAGGGCATTAGATGCCCTGTAACTGGAGTTCTAGTGGTTGTTAGCCACCATGTAGGTGCTGGGAACTGAACCCAGATCCTCTGCAAGAGCAGCCAGTGCTCTTAACTGCTGAGCCATCTCTCCAGTCCCTCAATACTCATTCATGTTAAGAAGTTCTCAACAAACTAGGGACAGGAAGAAGCTGCCCCAGCCCAACGAGGGACATCTAAACCCACAGCTAGCATGATGACTGACACATGAACGAACACTTCCTAAGAAGGAAGGCAAAAACGTGCAGCCTTTCTACGCCCTGCCAGTGTTACACTCAAGTTGCAAACGCAATAAGGGACGAAAAATAAAAGATACAGACTGCAACTGAAAGAGGAAACCTGTCTTCTGTAAACATGCATACCCGGAAACCTTACAGATCACACACACGTACACACACACACACACACACACACACACACACACATGCTAAAACCGATCATTACTAACAATGGAAATTACCAAGATCTCAGGACACAAGATTAACACAAAAAAATCAATTGAATTTCTACTTACTAGCAACAAACTACTTGAAAATGAATTTTTAATAGTTTTATGGAATTTTTGTGTATTTTGTGCATAAAATCATTTTTATACCCCTTCCCCCTCGTATAGCGCCCCCCCACTGGAGTTCCTGCATTCTGTCATTTTTATTAGTTTATTATGTAAAGTTAGTGTCCCCAGATGTCCCTCAGTGCACATTCACCGACCAGGGTTTAGTCAGCCTATCCAGAGCCTCCCTCTTCAAGATCAGCTCTTCCTCACCCAGCAGTAGTCAGCTGCAATAATTCTTCAACTAAGATTGGGGTCTGCTGTTCATTTCCACAGTTCTGTGCTGGGTTTTTGTCTGCCTAAGTTTGCATGGGTCTGTGCATGCTGACACCATTGCTGTGGGTTTGTATGAGAAGGGTCCCAGGAGCCTGTAGGACTCTGTTTCCATGTGGTCCTGCACCTCCTCACTGGCTCTTACAATCTTTCCGCCCCCTCTTCCCCAATGGTCCCTGAGCTCTGGGTGAATGTTTTATATAGGAGTCCTGTCCAAGGACCAGCAACCAACGGACTCTTATTCTCTATGCTTTGGCCATTTGTGACCTTTTGTGTTCCTGGCCCTCTGTTGCATAAGGGAGCTTCATTAATGAGAACCGAGAGATTCCTTAGTGACCTCTTCTTTACCGCTGTTCTATGTTCCATGAGCCTTGGGTGCAGAGGTTGCATTGTAGATGTGTCTCTTAGGCCTGGGAAATTCATAGACAATGTCTGTGTGTGACCAGTTGTGGTACTTGGTAATAGTCTCTGACTGCTGCAAAATAAGCTTCTTTGATAAGTGGTGCCTGGGATATTTGTCTGTAAATATAAGGATACATATGTTGTACATAGTAAGAAATTATACTAGTCTAGGGGTGTGACAGTCTTGGGGTTTTCTCTAAGACCTATGACCTCTCCAGCCATGTGTATTTGGCTATGTTTACACTACCACACTTGAGTTTCCTTCCATTGAGCGGTCTTTTAGTCCAATTAGGTAGCTGTTGATTGCCCCCAAGATAAAAGTGCCACTACTGCACCAATGATGTACACTGTGCCAGCCATTGAAAAGGAACCAGGGAGATGGGGGGCGGTGCTGAGAGAGAACAGTAGGAGACAGGTGTTACTAAGGGAGAAATGGATAAAAGTGTTAATAAAGGAGATATGGATAAAAATGCAGTTACATTAAGGGGGCAGGGAAGAGTTATATAAGGAAACTTGGGGATAAAGAGAAAGAAGGATCTCAAGAGAGGTGGGACCATAGGAGACTGGTATTATCAAGGGAGAAGTGGGGACATTTTAAATGGGGAAAGCATGGCAGAAGGGTTAGACAGGGAGAGAGAGGGGGGAGATAAATAATGCCTAGCTAGTATAAAAAAACCAGAAGGAATCATTTTAGTCCAACAACCTAATGACAGATTACACATACAACATCCCTACATGAGTCCATGTGTATAGCTAAAGGCTACATAACAAGAAACAGTGCCAGACAGGAGAAACCTTCCATGAGCTGTTGGCCAGGGTGGTCCCAGAGACTCCCGAAATTATACAGGCTATTGCCACAGCTCTTGATGGCCTCCCAGAACTTGAAGACAGAACATACTTTGGACACAGGATTTGGAGCAATAGAACTGCAACTGACCTGAAACCACTTCCCCTGAAGGCGGCTCTCACAGCTTCGGAGAGCTATGAAGGTGCCAAGGGAAAATGTCAATCAATGGTCCACCACCAGCTTCAAGACCAAGTCACCACATCAGTGGCCAGCACAGCGCCAATCATTTTTTTTAACTATAGAGCTAAAACTAAAAAGTCTAGAAAATCTTGCCAGCTTGGGGTAGGTAAATATTCATTAGGACTCAGAAAAGCACTCATCAGAAAAAATAATAATAAATTTACTTTCTTCAGAATTAAACTTCTGCTTTTCAGCTGATAACATTTAAAAAAAAAAACAGATAAAGGGCTGGTGAGATGGCTCAATGGTTGTTAAGAGGCACTTGTTCTTGCAGAGACTCAGGCTTGGTTCCCAGCACCCACATCAGGCATCCCACAACTGCCTGCAGCTCCAGCTCCAGCTCCAGCTCCAGGGGCTCTGACACCCTCTTCTGGCCTCTTTGGGCACCTGCACTCCAATGTCCATACACACACACACACACACACACACACACACACACACACACACACACACGCGCACACACGCACACACAAATGTAATGAGATTTTAAGTGTTTTAAATGAGAATAGTTATGCTTCTAAATTCAGAATACTTCAGACTTTTCTCAATGAAGTGACGCTGAGCCGTGTAGTCCCTGAACCCTCTGAGCAGGGTGCACTGCACACGCAAAGGTGGAAAGACTGATGACTTTCACGGATGCATATCAAGTCCCACAAATCCCGCCACATCATCTTGGTTGTGCCATGCAATGAGCCATGGAGAAGATGTTTCATTTTCTGAATTTTGAAACTTCTACTGCAGAGGAATGGCTGAGGCCTGGAACTTCGCCCAGTGAGCACACAGTAAGGGTGTGGGAGGGAGGAGCAGCTCCTGCTGCTTTGGGGGAACCTGGACGCTTCCCAGTGGCCCCAGTCCCACGGGATTAAGCGAACACTTGTCCTGCATCCCAGCATCCAGGGAGAGGTTTAGGAGAGTCACAGCCCAGTCAGACAAGTTCCTCCTAGCTTCTACCATCAGTCGAGAACAATTTCCATCTCAGGGAAGGAGGAACTAAGACCAGGACAGCACTAACAATCCCACCCACAGGGGCTCTCTGAGCTGTCTTTGGCCCAGCATGACACTTCCCCCTCAGGCTCACGGTGTTGCTAATTTAGAACTCCTTTAGGGTAAATTCCTGAAAGTTGAGTTGCTCGGACAAGTGTACGGATGTTGTAGACTTTAATTAATGGTAATATTGTCTGTTAATTGCTGTTGCCAAAACCAATATAGACAATAGATAGATGATAGATAGATACATAGATACATAGAAGATAGATAGATGATAGATAGAAGATAGGTAGGTAGAGATAGATAGATGATAGATAGATAGATAGATAGATAGATGATAGATAGATAGATAGATAGATGATTGATAGATAGATGATAGATAGATAGATAGATAGAT